TAAAAGAAAAAATAAATAAAATTCACCCAGGATTTTCTGTTTATTCAGATATGGTGAGGTCAACAGATCAGGTTGCTCTTGAACAGACTTCCCTTGAAAAGATAGCTTGTTTCTCACAGTTCCAAGAGGAGAGGCACCCACACCACTGTGGGGCATGGGAACAGGGAAGCCCCAGGGTTGGTCAGGAGGCAGAAGGAGCAAAAAGAACTGTGAGTCGGAGCCCTTATTGAGGTTTTCTTGGGAAGGAGTGAGTGAGGCAGAGTAAGTACTCGAGTAAGCTTAGGAATGGATAGTTTGAATAATTTCAGTGGCTGTGGGCTTATAGGGGTGGTCCCTCCCTAGCTGTCTAGCACTGGCCCTGGGGTGATTTAGGGCCAGGACAATACAATCAGTCCTCCTGTCTATGAGTTCCATATCTCTGGATTCAACCAATCATAGAAGGAAAGTATTTGTGAATAAAAAAGCATCTATACTCAACATGTACAAACTACACAGACGTTTTTTTCCCTGTCAATATTCTCTAAACAATATAGGGTAACAATTAGTTACATAACTGTTATAAGTAATCTAGAGATGATTTGAAGCATATAGGTGTGTTAGGTTTACTTAGAGTGGGAACCTGAAAAGTATGTATAGGACGTAATACTTAGTGATCATAAAGCCTGTGAAACAAAAGCCACAGGAATCTGGAGAGTCTAAGGTTGTAAATCTAACTTTGACCACAGACAGCTGCAGGACCACAGACTGCTGCAGCAATGTGGATTTCCTATCCCCCCCGATAAGGATGAAGCTACTCCCCTCCCCTCACCCCCCCCAGGTGCTGCTCACTCCCCCCAGACAATCCCTCTATAAAACCCAAGGTTTTCCCCTCCCTCAAGGTATATGCTCTTTTGGCCTCCACATATCTGCAGCCAGATGCTCAAAATAAAGAGCATTTTGCTACACTTCAGGCTTCACGTGTCTCCCTCTTGGCTCTGGACCTAACAAAGAGAATACACAGAAGTTATATGCAAACACTACATCATTTTATATAAGGGACTTCAGCATTCATGGATTTTAGTACTTGCAGGAAGACCTGGAACCAATCCCCCATGGATAACATGGGACAATTTTATCGTCTGGCTGTGTGAAAGTTTGACAAAGGAAGTGGATGGGGGTGTGGCCTCTGAACACATTGGTTTATAAATCAAAGGTATGCTGCAGACAAGATATTTGCTATATCTAGGAATTAGCTAACTCTGGGAGGGGCAGTCCCTTCCTGGGTCCACAAGGTCCCCAAGATGTCAAAGCATCATGAACTATAGGAAATAAAAAACATGATTAATACACATAAATAAAGATGGAGAAAAACATAATGAAAGCTCAATACTGAGCCAATTTACAATTAGGGAAGGCAGGGTAAAAGAGTTATAATAATACTTGAGTCCAGGTGCAGTGGCACACGCCTGTAATTCTACCACTTTAGAAGGCCAAGGCAGGAGGACGACTTGAGGCCAGAAGCTCAAGACCAGCCTGGGCAACATAACTAGATCCAGTCTCTGCTTGAGCCCAGGAGTTCGAGGCTGCAGTGAGCTATGGTTATGCCACCACAGCCAACCCTGGGTGACAGAGCAAGACCTTGTCTCAAAAAAAGAAAAAATAGGAGGAGAAAAAATGGCAGAGTTAGGGTAGCCTCCCAGATCCCTGCTTCCAGAGAGGGAGATGTAGGTCTCGGTCTGCTACACACGATCGGATTGCTCTCCCGCAAAAGCAGCGAGGTAAATGGGTGGAGATTCAGTGGGGGACACACAAATCAGGAAAAAGAATAAGGTGAACGGGAGATAGGACTACAAAACCTGGAAAGTGCGGACAGATAATAGAGAGTGGAGCATGAGACGGCAGCGCCAGCCTGGCCAGTAAGTGCACCAGGACAAGTCCCTCACAAGACAGTCTAGCTTTCCCACTGACTTACAAGCCCACCGAGAGGCAGGGGCTTGTGTGAAGTGGATGCAGAATTGGGTCTGGAAACGTGGGACTCAGCGGAGAGGAGACACAAGCAGGAAGCATCTTGAACTTCCCAGAGCTCCATGTCAGGACTGCACCAGACAGGGGAGGAGCCGGTCTGGGCTACCTCCGGAGGCAGTTAGGACTCAGGAAGCTGGTCTCTGGCACCCAGCGGGTCCTGAACAGGGTGGTGATTACTGAGTAGAGGACTCTAACCTGGAAACTGTTGCTGGCTGCTGGGACTGCTCAGGGTGGGCCAGTAGAAGCGAGAGCTATTGCGGGACTGGCGTGAGATT